GCCAGCTACTGACTATGACTACACTGGGCAAGTTTACTAGTAAACTCGCTTAATGTAATCGGGCTTTTATGTGCATATCAATAATTTGGGCACGTAGGTACAGGTTCTTAAACCCGATAGATACGCGATCGTTTGATACGTGTGTCGCCTCCTAACTAAAGTTTTTGCCTCGTTGCGATCTCGTAAGTCACTTAATAGAAAAGCGAATATATTTATGCTTGTCGTTTGTTAATGTTATCTAAAAAAATGATATTTATAACATTTTTAACTAAATAAAATCTTTTAGTAACTTCTGCAGTTTCGATACAAATTGTGTTATAATTGTGTACAAATTTGACATAATCATATAATTTTACTTATAGCTACGTATAATTATAAATTGTACTTCTACACTAATAAATAGGTACTTTCTAATCTAATCATAAGCTTTGTTTGTATACAAGTTTGTACGCCTATATTACATTGTAGCATTGTAATATTTTGAAAATAATGTTCTTACGTATCTACAGGAATCATAAATAATGTCTACCATAGCAACAATAGCTTATTATGAGTAAAACATATTTTTGGTCAAAGGCATTGATGTTTTGCCTATAAAGAAATTAATTATTGTTATATTACAGTCAGCACCAAAGTGGCATGTTGCAAATGCTGACAAATAAAATGTCTATTTTGTATAACATAAATATTTAAAAAGTGGCAGACACGATTTTTAAAGCTGTCATAATTTTTGTCATAATTCTATAATTATTTATATCTACGTTAACTAATAAGATACCGCGTTTCTGTCTTAATTTTATGGATATAATTTCTATAGATCCTAACTTGCTTTTGATTATAATTTCGAAGCATTATGTGCTATGTTAATAAATAGGTTTCTGACTAAATAAATTTACGTAAGTAGCAGTAAGGTTAGTTCTTAGGCGTACGTTAAACAAAGACTTTTAGATAGTGTGTGTAACAATGGCTGGCAATTGTAATATTATGCAATTGTCAAAATTTATTACACTTAACTGTATAGCTATTTCTCACTAGATTAAATAAAAAGAAACTCACTTTTGTGGTTCAAAGCAAAAGGCAATAGTGGTCCTAATTTATATTTATTCTTGAATAAATATTACATGTACAAATTTTTTATTTAACCTCGTGACAAATAGGGGCATCAGCGCTACCATAATCAAGCAAAGCAGCTTGAAATGCTTTAGATGTTCATTCAGAAACGTTTATAATTCTACATTTGTAAACATAAAATTATTATAGTTTATAGACTTATAATCCTACTGACGAATGAGCCGAACCCTTTTGTTTACTTATTTTAAACTATATTTATATAGAATTTATCATATAAATCACAAACTGATCGTTTGCAAATAAAAATTACATATTTTGAATTGATCTTATATTGGTTTGTCATAATAATTTATTATAGCTATTTAATAGTTTATGCCATATTTTTAATTTGTCATAATTACACTTTACAGTGTGGACGAATTATGATACGTTTTATGTAAAAAATAAAACGATTATTTACATTACAGTAGATAACATACAATTAGCATGAATATGTATATACAAGGCTACTAACTAATTATTTATCTAGTAGCAGTTTTTTAGATATACAAAAGTTATTAAGGAATGATATACGCAGCAGAAGATTCTATAATAAATTGGACAAAAAATGTTGTATATGCATTATACATGTATAAAAGTCTTCAATAAACAAATATTTTTTTAATCCGACACAAAAGGGGTGTTCTATCTCGTGCAAGTAACAATTTGAACATGTGTAATAAAATAACATTCTACCTTAATAAGTACTGCGCTCTAATAACAGATGGCATTAGGTGCATTCTGAAACGATCAAGCATGTTGTTAGTTATGTGTAAACTAATTGATGTTTGTTATTATATTTGATTTAGAGATGGGTGTAGTGAGTAACGAAAGGATAGCAGCTTCCAAATACGAACATTTTATACTCAAAAGCAGCTTTTTTGTAACGGTCGTCATTCTCATGTGACAAACTGGTATGGCAGTGTGAGTTTGCCGCTTGGTTGGACACAGCACAATGCCTCGTGCAATTGCCTTTCTCCCGCCTATTCGCTCCTCGAATGTAAAATTGTAGAGTGTGAATAGTGCAGTATAGTGTAATAGGCATTTTTTTAGGTGTGCATTTGCCATCGTCGACCTTATGGTCACTATCATCAGGTGAGATGGAGGTCAAATACGTACTAATTTTGTCCATAAAAAACTGCCCTATATACTATGCTAAACGGGTAAACTTATCTAGTTCGGTAACTGTGACCGGTACGTGGCGCTACTGTCACACGCGCAGCCAATAGCAAATGCCCGAGAAAACGCGCGAACGTAATCCGGCCTGTCACAGCGTGTGGTAAAACCAAAGACTGACGACTGATGCCGAATATTGATAGATACTGGGAACGAGTGGGAACCTGACCTTTATTAGGGGGAAGCCCCCTAACGCCGGACGGCACCTAACGTCGAACACTCGTACTATCTCGACATCTCGCAATGCGTTCGATCAATAAACGGGTGAAAAGGGCGTGGGAGACGATAGCGATACAGGATGTGACGCGCGAGACCGAGGTGGGAGCAGTAGATTTTTGCTTTTGGCAGGAACACTCTGCATCACTCAAGATCAAAGTGTGTATTACTGCTATGTTTTTGAGTTTAATAAGGTAATTGTTATTATACGTAGTGTTCTATAAGTATTCGAAGTTTGTAAAAGTTATTGTAAATTTTTAAACAACTTTTGCTGTAAAGTAGTCTCTTAACACCGGACAGTAAACACATGTGTTTTTCTCGTAAGTATTTATTTGTATTTTTTATAATAGTTGTTGTATGTTGTTTTAGAGGATAGAAGAACAAAGGGAACTCGAAATGGAAGATACGAAAAAGAAAGAAAAATGGGATCAATGGCCATACCAAATTGCTGTTGAAGAAAAAGACAATGAAAAAAATGTTAGGGATAAAAAGGACGAATTTGGTAGATAGTTCATAAAAGCAACAAGAGAGAAAGAGTAAAGGAGTAAAGGCCAAAGGAAAGAGTGAGTGCAAAGAAAATGGAACCGTTAAACTCAAATGTCTGACATAGAAACTACTTTTTTTATGAAAAAATAAGTGTTAGTGAAAGACGATGGAAGTGACGATGAGGTCGCTGATGTAGCATGCAAACCTAAATAATGCCTATTCACTCTCGCCTTGGTATGGTCCAAATTACAGCGTTCTGCGTTCCAGGAATACGTCCGACTACTTGTGTACTATGCTAAGAGGACCACGACGATGAATGGATACAGTGCTCCAGCTGCCGTGGATGGGATCATGAAATACGTGCATCCATCAAAAATCCCTGAATGTTCAGAAAACTACATATGCGATCGGTGCATGATGTTTTAAAGATGTCGGGCCCTGCTGTCCGGTAATAGGTGCCACTTGCAGCTGTAGCCATTTTTGTTACCAAAGTTTGATTTATATTTATAAGTATGTTTATGGAGAGATTGTACTTTTGTTCATTTATTTTGATTCTGAAATTTTTTGACATTATTAATTGAAAAATAAATCTACATTCCTAGAACCAGTTTTTTATTTAATGTCTTATAACCTTAGCTTTCCGCCACTAGGAGACTTCTATGTCATTGGACACAGCTATTTTCTTGCTTAGAACTTATAGATATATTTTTGTCGCATTTAGATATGATTAAAAATCTGTCATTCAGAAATAATAGTTTTGGTGACGGACCAAAGCTGCTTTTTCAATATCAAAAGGAGCTGCTATATTTCAAGACTCCATTTCTATTTCGATCAGGAATTCAACTATTATTTGTTTAAGGTTTCAATAGTATACGTTTAAGGATCTAGAGATGTGACTACGTGACCCTCTGCCAGCCTGTGAGACAGTTGACCATATGCCTTAGGAAATGGCGCTTCTATAGTACTTTTTAACACCTACTTTAACTTTTTATATCAACAATTATAATACAATTAGGCTTAACAGGTATTTAGTAGGAGATATTGTCTACACAATTGACAATTTATAGATGTTTATAATACATGAATAGGTATTGTACATAAAGCAAATTTATGATTATACAGTTAATTTTCTACAGCGTCTTGTATTATGTATATGGTCGTAAATCTATTTATTTAATTGAATTTATATTGCAATTGTTACATTTTACCGTACTATTTGTTTGCTTAAGACAACAGAGTAAAACGGGAAAAGCTCCAAACGCCCAATGTATTAAAATGTACTAAATAGATCGACGCCGGAAAGCGATCTTGTCTTATGTCGAAAATTAGGACTTTACACCAGGGCCGAAAAAGTATTTCAAAAAAATATTTCTCTTTCATTTCAATTAGTAGAAAGTCAATTTGAAAGTATTATTATATACATCACACTGTTGTACATCAAATGTACATTTTGATGTACATGGGGCCTTAGGAGGTTTCCACTACATAATTAATTGCTTCAGAACTAAAAAGACATTTATTTAAAATAATATTATTATACCAATCATACCAATGTCACATTCTGTTAAAAACTATGTTCAACACTTTTACGCATGGAACATCAAACACGTACAAAAATGTACTATATTTATTCACATAATAATATTTTTTCAGAAAAATAATTGTATGTATTTATAGTTAGAACAGAATAATTATAACTAACAACAATTTCCACTTCAATCTGAATTTAATAACCATCTAATTAAGAAGATCTATCCGAACCGTATCTTTATTTGTTATAATATAGCAATGGTATTTTTTTACTTCAATAAATTTGTACAAGACAATTTTTAACTTTGGAATTAATAAAAGTCCGGTTTCTGTAAAATTAAAAAAAACCGTTATTTTATTTTATTGTTACTTATTTTTTACAGTTACACTAAACTTAGTGTAAAATAAGATAACGGCTATAGACTGTTTGAAAGCAGCTTGCGTGAGCTCAAGTAACTTAAATTTCGCAATTTCAGAGGGAGGTATTATGCACTCTATATACGTATAAGGTACTTGAAGTTTACATAAATATACTCTAACGTTTCTGATCTTTAATGATGACTTTTCCACTGTATCTGAATAAACTAATAAACGTATACATATATAAAATACTGTATATATTTTATGATACTCCATACACTACGTATTTCCCATTACACTAAGTATAAATACAAAGTTGTTACATACTTACAGCTATTTTATTATTATTTAATAATATTGAGTTAATTTGGTGAGAGCATTGCCAGGTCTTCTGCGTTTCGATAACGCATGCTGTGTTCCCTCGGCCATTGAGTGGCTAAACAAAAAAAAAATTAAAAATCTTAAAGTTATTATTATGAATTTTTATTGGTTATCTATCGGTAGTCCGAAATGACACTTTCCAGAACCTAAATTAACTTAACCTAACTGAACCTAATCATGTCTTTGCGATAAACATTCAACATATCCTGAAAGAACAACTGTTTCGTTATATAATTCGGTTTTCGGTGTAATGAAAATTCGAACAAACGTTATTTCGGAAAAAGAAATTGCGACATATTTTAATTTTCTTGAAATTTCCGGTCATTGTAATTTTATTGAGACTCCACTGAGAATTTATTGCAATTACAATAATATTTGTTATTCTGCTAAAATCTTGTTTATATAGCAGTTGAGTCACAATAGTGTCAGTGGAATGGTAATGATGGCATTCATTCATTCAATCACTACCGATATCGAGGTTGCCTTACTAAAACTTCCATGGAAATTACTATGCATATCTTAAGTTTTATCTCGTTTGATAAGCAATTGAATCTTCAAATTAAATGCTTTTTTATGTCAAATAATTAGTAGACTACGCCATCGATGTACCACTGAAGAACAGAATACCAAAAAATGGTAGTTGAATAGTAAGCTTGATGTCTAGCCATTGAAAAGCCGCTACTCAACTTTTAGCAGAATATCAAATGACTCCACTAGTTTGTTATCGATCGAACACTCAGAAAAAAATCTTTCGATCCGGTCGAACCGACGTCTTTTAGCATACTGTGCCAGAATACCAAATTACTCCACTAGTTTGTTATAATTATTAATACAAAGATAGTTATAGCATAGCTTAGTTGGCACGGTATGTTAGAAGACGTCGGTTCAAATCCGGCCGGATCGAAGGATTTTTTCTGAGTATTCGATCTTTGTATTAATAATTATAACAAACTAGTGGAGTAATTTCACATAAAATAAAAAAAAAATTCAATATAATAAAAATTTAAATACAGTGAATAGCGACATCTCTAGCCGGGGCTAGTAGCTATAAGGGTATCTAACTGAGTAACGAAATACTTTCATAGATGGCGCTACGGCTAAAAAGTCGTTGAAAAATCAAAATATAAAGACACGCCAACAAGCACATAGAAAAATTCGTGAGGTTGCTTAGTTGGTGTAACGTCTGGCACAGTATGCTAAAAGACGTCGGTTCGAATCCGGCTGGATCGAAGGATTTTTTCTGAGTGTTCGATCGATAACAAACTAGTGGAGTAATTTCACATAAAAATAATTGAATATCAATTCAATAAAAATTTGGAATACCAAATGTTCAAAATCGAAAATCCCTAATTATTAATAATAACTAGACAAGTAAATTTGTATTCGAGTGCATTCGGAAATCCGAAGATTGCCGAGAGGCGGGTATTAAGAAAATAATTGTACTGTGCATCGACTTAATTACGGTAACAAATTACCTAACTAACACCAATAAAACTACAAACAAATACCACAAAAATGTGTGTGTGTAATCAATAAAAATGAGAATTTTACACACACAACCTACTCAAGCACTACGATTTTCCATTACATGTAAACATTATCAAGGTGCACTTATCTCCACTAAAATAAACCGAAGAAAGATAAAAAAGTTTCTAGAAATAAATTATAAATGATTATTACTAGTTACAGAGGTTCTACTCTCGAGGCACGAAATCCGTAGTTACGGCCACTTTCCCACTGGTCGATGACCTCCGGAACAGGGGATCTACTCTCGATCTCCGTCTGATATCCATCCGAAACAATTACTGCCAAATAAGCAATACTTGACCAAATGAAAAGACGCGTGATGCGAATGAAGATTCATACTGGGTACTTGTCTTTTAATTTTGTCGAATATTACTTATTTGACAGTAATTGTTTCGGACGGATGTCGGACCGCGATCGAGAGTAGCCCCCCAGATCTCGAAGTCCGTCAAAGAAAAGAAAAAAGAAAAAAAGAAAAGAAAGGGCCTTCGAAACACCCAAGTCGCGTTGTGATGCATTTTTCTCTAGTCAAGTAACTACGGATTTCATGCTTTGAAAATAGGGCCCCAGATCCCTTACCACGGTCCCGACTGTAGCCAACTCGTAACCTCACAGCGTGCAACCGTTCCGAAATATCGGTAAAATAATAAGCAGTCATACCTTGGTAAGAAACTGGTAAATAATGGTAATCAATTAGTGAATAATCCGGAAAGTTTCAAAATCATGTATAAACAAACCAGTGGAAGTGTGTAGAAGTTATGTTCAACAGTTTCCGTGGTCGAACGGTTACGGTACGGTTTTTATTTGCGAAATGAGACATACTATATGTCTATATCTATAGATATCTAATTTCGTCTGAATATTGTATCCAATCAAGATAAATGTTATCTTAGTATGTAAAATTAAAACAAGTACGTGCGTTTGTTAATATGGCTTAATACCATTTCCACTAGTTTACTTATTCGATGCTAGTCTATGAAGACAAGTCATGCAAATTTAGAATGTAAAAAACGTGCCAAGTCCATCCAATGCACCTATTTTTTCTGACATTTGCTCGGTACAGTCTTTCGTTTGCATGCAACACTCTTTTTCGTGCGAACTTTTCGTGCATAACGTGCTGGAAACAGAGATTGGTGAAATGTTTAAATGTGTTTTTAGAAATGTATGAATAAGGGGGAAGACCATAAATCACCGCATTGTTATCCACATTACAGCTGTTATAAATTCGCATATTAAAGGACGAACAAAGCCGATTATACCCCGTAAAAAGTTTAACTAGAATGACAGATCGGCAAAATTAGTACGACGTAAGTTTGTAACAGCGTATTATAAATTATATTTTATAAACATCATTAAGCAATAAGTATTTTTAACAGCTTTTGTTTTGTGTCAAGGTTAAATGGAGCAAAGGGGCTTGTTCGGGACATCTTGTTCCTAAAAGTGTCACCATATTTCTCAACGCAGAATCGACTTACACCGATCATATTTCGCCTGATGTTCATGCAATAAGCGCGAGAAAGATGTGCGTTTCGCATGTATTGAGGTGCGTCGTTCGTCTATCGGCGACAACGTGTTCTTAGCTCTTATTGCATGAACAAAAAGTTCAAGCCGGCTCAAGCCGACTACGCGTCGATACATGTGGTGAATTCCTAAAATAGCACACCTGTCCACACACAGACGTAGGTACTTATATAGTGCAAGTTTTTGTATCTTTGTGTGTATGTTTCAATGAAGTATTTCTTACTTGTGTGTGTTAAGGTAAACACAACATAAGGTAAGGCAAATAAGTATCATAGTAAAATTCGTGCAAAACGTTTCGTCATAGACAACCAAAGTTTGTTCACGTGAAAATAACATGAAAATAGACGGAAAATTAAATATAAGTAGAATATTTATTACCTGTGTAGTGCATGTTCCGGTACATATCAGGGCAGTTACTGTTGACCTGTTGTAAAAAATAATAAAAGTTACTATATTTATACTGAGAAACACTGGCTCATTACTATTGCATAAATAAAATAACGATATAACTAAATAGTGTAAGTAATACAAAAAGTCAATAAAGTTATCCATCACTTAAGTAGCAGTAGAGTTTCCTTTGAAAAAAGTTGTCCAGGGAAGTATTGCCACCATACGTGCTCGTGCATTCCGTTGGCGCGTATCTAGTTTGTACATTACACAATTGATCATAAAGTTCATTATGCTATGTACAATATCGTTACAAAAATTCGCTTCCATTCTATTCCGCCGCAATATAAATTAAGCCTTAAACCTTTACGCCATCCTCTCTACAATTTTTTTTTATTCTGTCAAGGGTAAGACCTTATAGGACGGTGGTTGCCTTGATGCCTTTGTGCGAGTTAAACGTAATGTAAAAGTAACATGATTTAGCAAACTAAATTAGCTAGTAGCCAAGAAATTCTTAGTGTATATTCGTAAAGCAATTTATCATTCCGAAAAGTCGTGACAAAATGTCAGTGTAAATACGAGCTCACTGCACCGGACTCACAATAAATTTAGCGAAATCCCCACCTAAGACGGGCTAGAAACTTCGCAAAATATAATTTATACCAGAGACGTTAATTAATTTAATTTAATAGGGTGCACTGCGTTTCAGGTAACAGTGTTTATTGGAGTAGAAATACGGGATATCATATATCAATTACGGCTTTTAACCCGGCTGCGACGACGTCAATGGGGAGGATAATGATTTTAGCTATCTATGTACTTACAATGAATACAATATTTTACTGAAGCACTTATTACATTTCGTTC